CACTGTTTTATGGAATTCCAAACATATCAGAAAACTAAAAGCTAAGTCATATGCAAAGTTAAAAGATGCATTCATTATCAAATGGCATCGAAATTGCCATGGTCTCAATATATTCTACATACATGTACATGTAACGTGTACATGAACAGTGTTTCCACTGTGGTACCATAATGCAGTACGCATGTGTGAAAAAGTGGTTTGGAAACTTTACATGTACACACGGTATCTCTGTGGTGTCTCATTCTTTGGATAGGGAGGAAGACATCGTCACCTGAATGTAAATGTACATGTAATATAACATGATATCCCTTCCAGTCATTCCCCCCTTTCATACTATGGATGGGCAATTAGGATTTTGGCCAACTCCCATGGCTCTCACTCATTGGCAATGATTTAATATCAAACCACATTGCATGTAACCAAATGTACATGTACATGTATATGTTTGGGACAACTAGCCAGGTACCCAGTACCCAACCAAAAATGTAGCTAGTTCTGTTTTGTCAGATTTATTTGATTAAGAAAAATACCCACATTTGTGAATTAATAAATGCTCTTGTGTTTTTTTATGGATGCCAAAGCTGGATTGGAAAGGTAACTTTCAATAACAGAACCGACACCTTTAACTCTGGGTGTGGTGCCAACGGATGGATCGGGTCAAACCAGAGTTTAATAGACAATAAAGCGTGTAATTGTGCCACTATTGAATATGGCTGTGAGCATATTATTGTGCTTCTTTCTATGCATCAAATCTGTATGAAGGCTATTGTTAACACTCTGACGATATCAAACTGTGTAACAGTTACATGTGTCTGAATGAGCCAAGTGGTTCTCACACATGTACATGCACATGTTGTACATACATGTACATTTATGGGTAGGAAATAACTGGCCCGACGGAGGTCCATGTCACTGGTTAAAAAAACTAAAAAAGTGACTTTTTTCTTCTTTACTTTATTTGCAGATTTAGGGCCAATACGCTACCTGAAGAAATTATGAGCAGAAGGAACCGAGAGTATAAAGTAAGCTGTTTATTCTTAAACAAAATTCGGTATTTGATTGAAAGTTAGTGAGAAAAATGCAAGGTGTTTTTATTTTAAGTTTTGATTGGCATTTCATGAGGACAGTGACATGCATGTAGATACTGTGTGATGAGCAACTTTTTTCCTGGAGGCACATGAAGAAAGCAAAATTTTCGAGTTAGCCCCCTCCCCCAAAAGAAACACAGAAACCTCACAAATTATTTGGGAATATTTGCAGTGCTTCAGTAGCAAATGACAAATTAAACAAATAGCTAATACATTGCTATATTCCTTACATATCGTGTCACTTCAGCAGAGGCTGCATGATCATTTATTCACTCAGAACCCCAATCTTCCTATCAAGGCTTTTGGCTAATTACAGGTCTGTTTTATTCATAAGACAATTTCAGAGTAATTGTGCTACAGTTTAAGTTGGTTTCTATCAACCTTGAGTTTAATTGTATTTTTAATGTTTTGCTAATTAGGCTAATTTTGCACAACCTTGGGCCGAAAGTACATGTACCAGCAAATTACTGGATGCAGTGTGCTGTTGACTGGATTTCCTTCCCTAACTGACAGGTGCAGTTTACACTGCAGCTTTCCTGTCATTGCAGTCTGTGTTTTATTGCCATATTGATTTCATGTGCATTTATTTTAAGCATAGAATTTGACCAATTAAAGATTGCCAATTAAAGGAAACAGCAACAAAACATAGTTTCTGAATTTCCCCCTTATTAAGTACACTCCAGACTAAATAAAACTAAAATAAAACACGGTCACATGTTCTTTTCATTAACTAAACTAACTTATCCAGGGTATTTTGGAAAAGAAAGAAACAAAATTGGATGTATTATTACCAAGTCAATATTTGTTTTGCTATATTTCACTCAGACATACATTTGAGTATTGCCTTTTTTCAGCCAATAAAATATTAGATTTTAGTGATGTTGTGAAATTGCAGTAGACAATACCTACATTGTTTTTACTGATATCTTAACACATCATTACAGTGTCCTTACATGTACATTGTCTTGGCAGCCTCCATCAGGTTGAAAGTCAGTTTTTGACAAAATCAGTGTATAAAGCAAATCTTGTTTTTAATGTACTGTAGCTACAGGTAGGCATTCACATAGTGTTCTTTCAAGAGGACAGTGTTTTTGTGGTGGTTTCTTTAGACAAATACATCTAGCAGCAATATTTCTTTCAGACTTGCATATACCGGTATTTATTATTGCACATACACGTACAGTGTACTTTGAGACAACATAAAAATGTAGGACATTGACTGCCTTTGCATTTGGCTCAATGTTTAATTCATTAGTGCATCTCGGCCATGTCTTGCCAATTTTTGTGTATGTACAGTGTACATGAATGTATCACTTTTCAGACGTAACATATTGAATTTGGCATTATACATGCATATCAAAGCTTCGTTAAAATTGCTTTGATTGAAACAGTTATGGGTGTGTTTTAATCGTAAGGAATTTTGGTTGAATTTTATGAGGAACACAGGATGCATAATGTGGCCTTGTCCTTTAAGGCACATGTACATACAGGATACCAGGTTATTGCTGTATCCCATCCTGCACAGATCACTCAGTAAGAACTCCCACGATATTTATGGACACCATTGTTACAATGTTTTTTACATGGTGATGTGAAATGTTGCAATGTTTGCCAGATGCTACATACATTTATGTACAGGTACATGGACATGTAGGTGTAGACATAACAGTGGTCAATTTTGACATAGCACAAACCCGATGTCGGCCCATTTATATTACTCAACACTGGATTTTCCTCCGTTTTCAAAGTGGTACCAGTATATTTTCTAGTCAATGAAGTACAAAAACAACATAAACTAAAAATTGCCTAATACGAGGCTAATATGAGCTGACATTTAAGAGACTTTATAATTATAAGTTTTTGTCAGTGTTTGTATGCACACATCATTAAATCCATCAAAATTTAAGACCATCCAATCTGAGACATTGCTAAAATGCAAAGTGGAAAGATTTCGTTTGATAGAGCAGTTTTCACCAGAGTTTTACATAGTTTAGAGCCCCCAATTGAAGAAGCTGATTCATAAACAGGGCTTGAAGCCAGATATTTGAAAGAAACTGGAGAATGGGAGGGAATTGTTCCCCCGATGGACTGACCATTTGCTATCCACATTTGCTCCTCCAGGATGTTGTACAGAAACTTGTTGGTCGACAGACCAATGCAGCCCGTGGATCACCTGACCAGCAACGACGCCTTCAGCAACGTCACATGCTACAGCAGCTACGACAGCATGTGTCAGAAGCACGCTATGAGACTGGGGAGGCTGTGTCACACATCCAGGAAGAGATGTACAAGCTGGAAGCCCGTTTTAGCCAGCCTGGTAGCCTGGACAGCGACGAAGGCATTACCATGCCTCAAGCCACAGGGAACCATGCCAGTGTTTCACCGTGTAACTCTGCTGCTGCCTCATCAACACCGGACAAGTACCAGAGTGACACACTGCGAGCCATGCAGGACCTCATACTAAAGCGACGAGAAAGTGAGAAAGATGACAGTGACCCACATGAGGCTGGGGATGAAGCTATGAAAATGGACAGAGGGTTGGTCCACTCTTCAAAAGACAGTCACATGACCTAAGACAGAGGACTCGCTTCGAAATTGAGTACTATCGTATTGTGTATATTATGAAAAAGTTAAGGCCACTTTTGCAGAATAGCCTTTTAAATTTTCTTTTTTTTTTTGGCCTTACTTTTCCAAGTCTTTGGGGAGCTCTGTGGTACAGTCAAATTTGTTTAGGGGTGGTGGTATTCAAAATTAGTTTAATTGTTTTTTAAGGAATGTTCCATCCTACTCAAAGAAATTATTTATGCACCCAAAAATAGTTTAAAATTCCCATTAGAAGTGGAAAGCAATACAATGATAATGCTGACTTTTAATCCCTCTCTCAGCTGTCAAATTTGAAATTATAGGGCAGAGAAATATTAAACCTTTAGGTGATCATGGCATTAAATTGTCAATTGTAATGAGTAAATCCTTGTTCAGTTGAACTGAAAGTATGCAAATGTGGTAATGATTGATTTATAAGATATACTCACCCTGTACATCAAGCTATTGCTGGACAGGCAGGATGTGGCTGGGGAGGCTGTTAACTGAGATAAGAAGGACAAATAATGGTGTGAAAGATTTGGACAAGTCCTCCAGTCAAATGAATGAATTAGCCACGCAGAATCAACAATTTACCTGGAAATAATTTACCCAAATAAAGTTGAATGCCACTGCCTTAGGCCCTGCATTTTACAGGTCACAAAATGTCATGTTCACAATTTGTCTTGCTCTGTTGATCATGGTAATGGGTTTATCGTGCCGCATCCTAACCCTGTGGGAATTTGAGCTGATCTGAAATGATAATGGAATATCATGTGCAGTTACTGTAAACATACTCTGCTTCATAATTTGGTGATACGCAGGATGCAGTTTAGGCTGGGAATTCACGGAAGAGAATTGATTTGGGAAAAAAACCTGCAGAGAAGTGACAGCATGACACACAAACCAAACCCCACTCCCTCTCCCCATTGCTCCAACAATCTCACATTCTTTGAGAGGATGATGTACACATTGCTCAGGTTACATGAATTATTCATGTAGGCACATGATCTGACCAAGTTGATGCACCTCTCAGATTTGAATAATAATGGATGAAAAAGGATCTCCTCTGAGCTAGATTCCACCATGGTCAAGACACTTGAGCCTGAAGCTAAGAAGAGTGCCAAGGTTTGGTTGATGAGTGGAATTGTGCAATGGGAGATGGTACTTTTTTAAATACTTGAGCTTTCATTAGCACTCTATGCTCAGTGCTGTCCAAGAACATTCAAGAAGAAAAATGCCAAATTTATCTCAGTCTTTTTTGTCTCAAACCTGTGACCAATGTTTTAGCAGTGATGATATTCTTTACAAGCAGTAGGCCTCCTTGATAATCTTTGAAACTGATTGTTTTGGACTTTTGTTTACTTGTTTCATTTTTAATATCAGAAGAACTCTCAAAAGACTTACATATGGAACTGATTTATGCCATTGTCGGTGTCAGGAATTATTGATCGTTTAGGTGAATTGCACATGGTTTAAATAACCTTCATGTACAGCTCAAGTCCAGATTGCACGTCCTTGTGTTACAGTTTTTTGGGCAGGAATTTTTTTAATACATCTGTTCATTGCTTGTCACTTCAGTATGTATGATCGTTACATACACTTCATAAAAGTGTAAAAAATAATGCTGACTTTGCAACTGCCAGTTTCAGTTAATGTATTGTCTGGTTTGTGAATCTTGGCATTTTGATGCCAATTATAAAAGAAAATAGCGGCCACTCTTTCACGATGGCGCGTCTGTATTGTGCAATATAGAAAATGTGCCCCCAAAGTTTAAAAGCATATACCCACAAAGAAGTTTACTGGATTTTAATTCCTAGAATGTGTAGTCTCTAGGCTGAGACCCTCAGCAACAGAAACAACATAAAATAGTATAAAATGCAGCCAGACTGTGGAATATTTTCATATTTTGCAAAATCCCAGGATGATGTGGAAGACTAAGCCTGAGCCTGAATTTGAAAATAGTCCTAGATTTTGTTTGGATCCGACAGATTATTTTGTTATTTCAAAATGTCTTTAGAATACAAAAAGAAAAGGCCTTAATAGTTCACTTGTTTTGTTTTCACACTTTGTTTGAATCATTTACAGGGTTAATATAATATATTTCAAACTATTTATCATTCAATATTAATGTATTTTAACATTCTATCATGTACATAAAATGTATTTATTGACAAAGTTTGTTTATATGCACACAGTACTACTATGGTTTAATTCATGTATAAAGGAGGTGGGATAGTTCTGCCTGGTTCTTTGACTTGTAAAATATTTACTGGATATAATATGAGAATATTTAATATTTTGATACACCGTACATTTGAACAGTTATACACATACGCATAGTTTCCCATATGGCTATATTCCTATATGAAGCTTTATACGTGCATGTATGGATATGCATACTATTCAGCATTTTACAGTAGTGTTTCTAATTAATCTAGTCAAGATTATAAGATAAATATGTAATGTACATGTACTTGTAGCAGTTCAAGCTCAGTATTTCTGGAGATTAGATTTCCTGGTCAGAAAATGTAGTCAATCATACCTTTTACCTTTTCCCTTTTCCACAAGTGTTTATAGTCTGAATGTGTATTAATATAATGTGAACAGTCTTTGCAATCCATCCCCCTCAAAATCAGGCAATACTAAAGTTGTCCATTTGCAGTGCAGACTCTGATCTTGAATTTTCATTGTCACTATTGTTATGTTGAGATATTTTTAGAAGTTGATATTTCATCATGCAGGCTGGCAGTTCTCATTCTTCAAGAATGCATTTTCTGGGGGCAGCTTGCATTTCTAACCAACTTTGTAATAAATTCTCAGTGTTGGTGCCTTGTATACCTGAAGGCAGTCAGAGAGCATGGAAGTGGGTTAGGGTTGCGGGATCCATTCTTTCGGTCCCTGGGGGCATCTCTTAGGTCGTGACAGTAAAGGGTTAGCTTATAAGCTATGTCAGCACTTTGGATGCATTTCAAGTGGAACCGCTACATCCTCACATTGGGGCCCGTTTGTAAGCTTCAGATTTGATAGTTTAAACACACAATTTCCCATGCCCAGGGGCTCATTAGTCAGAAAATGAAAAAGGGCTTTGTTCATCCAAACATTTTATGCAGTAATTGGACAGTTCATCACAAATCCTGGGACTATTGAACTTTCAAACTAATGCAGTGAACCATCAAACCCTCAGGTTGCTGCCATAAATTGGTCAATTCCTCAATCTACACTCCATGCCATGCATGCAACAAAGTTCCTGTCAAATGTGGGGTTTTTCTTTTGTATTCAGGCAAATAAATTTGCCACAGATGTGTCAGCCATAGTAGCTTTGTCACCATATTCATTTATGTGATGGGTAATTTATTCTGGGTAACATTCTGAATCTTAATGTTGTAGTTTAGTGTTAAACATTTGTTTACTTGAATGCGGTTTGCACTGTCTTTCGGTGCTCGATAGAAAGCCTTAAATATTTTGGCACATATTGTTTTTTGTTCAGTTATGAGTAATTTAGCTTCAAAATGTAGTCAGAGGTTGAAGTTGGTATGTCAACTCAATTTTTGTCTTGATAAAAATTTGTAATGACATGCAAACAAAAAAATTTCAAATATAGGAAATATCAAATGATTATTTTAAATTTGAAAGCTCTTGTACTGAAGAAGTGATTTTGTTTCTTTATGGACTTACACAAAAAGTTATGTTCATGGGTCATTCAGTTGGACGGCATTATAAATCAGTTTAAGCATTTTGCTCGCAAACTTGTCAAACAGGATGGCTGTGTTGTTTATTATTTCTTTAAATTGTAGTTTTATGGTGACTAATTGAAACATTTAGGTCTAGAAATATCCCAAAGGATCCTGCCTCTTCTGCCGTCATTTATATTGTATGTTTCAAGCAGAAACTTGCATTCATTTCTTATAAATATATTTTTTCAAATTTGGGTGTAAGAATGGAATTTACATGGTTTCCCAGTTTGGTTGATATTCATTGTGATATTTTTGGACTTCTGTAAAAACAGTGTAATTTCACAAATCTTGAAAGTGTGGTTCCAGTTTCAAAACATTATCATTTTGTTAAACATCGCAATTGAACATTGAACATTAGTAGAATCAAATTTTTAAAAATTGATGAGAATTCTGAAATAAAATGACACATTTTTTGTTCTGAAAATAATTATTGTCAGTTTAGTGGGCATGAGTTCCCTTGCCATTTTCCTTTCAATAAGGATTATCTTTTGTTGGACTGAAAATATGGAAATCAATTCCCCATCCTTAAGATGACCCTTCTCATAGTTCCCCTCATCAAAAGGTGGGTGTCTTCTCTTAAAAAACCTCCCAGAACTTTAGATACCTTGGCTCAAGTTGTCTTATTTTTCGTTTTGAGTTGAATTCTGTTTCACCACTAGCCTTGATTGGACTGAAATATATAGTCAAGGGATTTATTTAAAGAATCAGCAGGCCGAAGTTGTTTTGACCCGGCATTGTTACTTGAGTCAGGGGTGGATTCCCCCCCCCCAAAAAAAATGAGCCAAACATATGTTTAAAAAATAATGGAAGGCAAATACTTCAGTCTATTCCATCTGCCTAACCTTCAAAAAGCATGTAAAAAGCCTCAAACAGTAGCTTCACCCCTCAGAAAGGCAATATAAAGATTACATGAATAAATTTCAAACTTTTTAGACCCCCCCTAAAAAAACTATTTTACCCCCTTCCTCCCAAAAGGTTAGGCTGGGAATTAATGGTTCTGTGTGCAGGGGTGTGAAAATTCTGCTTTTAGCCGATTTCAGCTTTTCTAGTTTAGATGTTGAGCCTGAATCTCAGCTTTTTCGTACACGTGGTCTGAAACTTTAATATTTCAGATATATGCTGGCTGGTAAGCTTTTATTTTAACTGGCCACTCACACACCCCTTGCTTTGAGCATAATAAACGAAGAAAGCGATCAACTTCAATGCTTTTTCCTAGCAGAAATGGAATTATTAATTCTACAGGGGGCGCCCTGTACAAATGATGAATTTCGTCACCGCATCATATCGCGTCACGGCTTCATGCATTAAAATATCGGGCACATGCTCCAGTCACTTGGTGTACTCTGAAAACCTCTGGCTCTGGAACTCACCGTTTTTGTGTTCTTTTTCAGGTAAAGTTATGAAAAGATTTTGCATAATTAGAAACGGTAAACATTAAGAGGAAATTTTATTTAAAACATACTGGGTGTATTACCATTGTTGTCAAGGAATGACACTATTAGTAAAAAAAAAAAAAACGAGTGCAAAGCGTCAGTCTTGTCAGTTCGCCCCATCACGCCACGTGTATTTTTATACCATGTCCACTGAAAGAAGCGTGGAGTATCCCAAGTCTTGCCCCGAAATCATATCGAGGCCTTGCCTCCACATAAAATACATGCACTTATTCAGGCTTATCTGTGTGTGCCCTTAATGAAATCCCTTGCCATTAGCCCTAACATTGGCAATCCTATGTAGGGCCTACACTAGCCCCACTAGTGTGGCACGGACTCTCACTCCCGATCCATCCTTAGCCACATATCCGTATGCGCAATTTCGTGTCAGCGTACTGAACACTTTTGGTGCACCCACTTATCATCGTGGGCACAATTTCTTTTGCTCATGAACATGATCCTTGACCTTTCCGTTTTCTAAAAACCATTTATTGAATGATTTCACTCACGTTATTCAGGTATTTTCCAGTCTTTTTGCCTTTATCCGTTCACTCTATCGGGCTCGCTCTCACAGTTGCCATCTTTAAAATAAGGTCGTTGAACATTACATCACTTGACCCCTAATCTTCTCGACGGCTGTTCCGTGTCAAGACATCTAAACTGCTGCCAAAGTTTTGGCCCATTGGTACATGTAGTCCGCGTATTAGACATGTCTTTACATGGAACAGCCGTCGAGACGATGAGGGGTCAAGTGACGTAATGTTCAACGACCTTAGTTTAAACATAGCTTTGTTTTGAGTACCAAGAAAGAAAAGGGCCAAGACCATGCCGTTTTCAAAAAAAGTGCAAATACTTCCTGATCAGCGTCTGAGAGTCGTGTGGTTCACATGTGTACTTGTGAAGACAAGCTGCGACTAAATGGTTCACTATGGCTGCGATCGATACACAAGACATGGAAATTGGCTACAGCCACTTTCCGTACATGTGTGTGCAATTCTTAGTCGTGCTGATTGAAATTGCAGTTGGCTGCAGCACGCTGGGGTCACACTGACCAATCACAGGGCTCCTCATTATTTATGCCCAAAATGAAGGAAGACAAGCACAAACACGACCGACTAACGACTTGATTTGAAGTCTAACAAAAGGTGTGCACAAAATTCAATAAAAGTGTAGGGACTTCTGGTATTATCCAGCAAAGCGTGGCAAATATCGCTAGCAATTGTTCCTTTTGAAAAGTAATATCAAGTACTTTTTTGAAGGTTTTTTAAAATAAGGCTGTTGCAATATGAGAGTTGATAACGGTGATTAACCATCATGATCTTTTGGGCCTTAACATAAAACCGGAAAGATCACATATCTTTCAGATTTATTGACATTTTGAAATGGCACATTGTAAGGGGATTCATCGCTCGATAACCAGACAGAGCTCCAGCGTGACCATAAACTACAACGTCCCAAAACGAGCCAGTGATTTCTTCACCAAAAAAAGTTGAAAAAAACGCACTTACATATACATGTATGATTACAGAGGACTCCAAAAATACTACATGTACATGTGAAAGTTTCCTGCTGCTTGATGTGAGGCAAATTGAAGTAGGCTTTCCTGAAGCTGAGGGTGTTGCAAA